ATATTTCATTCACTGATTGTGACAAATTTTTGTGTGGACTCAAAAGTCTGCCCCTTACTGCCGACTATGGTTGATTTCAAATTTCCCTTCGACTCAAAAAATTGCGCAGTCCCCCCTACTACAAGAAATTCGTAACTCCCTTGCTCTTGTAGCGGCGCTATGGGGTTTTTCACACCTTTGACAGATGAAGCTGAAGTTCTTTGGATGTCCCCTATCTTACTAGGTAATTTAAAATGGGGAGGATTTACCTTAAATTTTCCTGCCAAAGGGAAGGGGGTTTCGTCTCTTTTAAAATACCTCGCAACATGAAAGCAAGGGCCCCGGTCGCTTGACACGTCGCATACTCTACTGCATCTGCGATTTTTTTTACTCACTGTAGCAGTAAACAAGATGCTTTCCCTTCTGAGGGGCTGGGCCCCCCGGGCTGAGAGGGCTGAAAGTGGTGAAGGGGGCGGGTACCCCCCTGTAGAAAATTCTCACAGTAATTTATTTTTCCTTTAAACGCAAGCAATAATGTGTAAATATTTACAGGGACATGTTTCAGTAAGGCAAATTTCAAACAAAAAAACAGAGGAACCATATTCGACCAGACTTGGGGTAAGTCCGTCAGTGTTGTTCATGGTGTACCCCATCGCTTCACAACTTTTGGGGAGTTCCTTGAATTTTGGGTGGTTGAAAACCCAAAGGGGCTTAGTATAGCGAGGGGGGCCTTTACTAATTATACTTAGCATTGGGTTTGCTAGTCGGGAGGGCGCCTTTTTGGGTATGTGAATTTTCCCCAATAAAAAAGTAACATGCAGCATGGCCCCCAGCACCATACCCATCACTCACAGGCTGAGTGCTGGGCACCCCTACACCCTTCCCACAGGTGAGCTGCTGGTGCCCATACACCCCCACCAAGGCTGAGCTGTGGTGCCCATACACCATCAACCCCCGGCGAGCTGTGGTGCACATACCCACCCCCAGGCTGAGCTGTGGGCACATACACCCCTCACAGGCTGAGCTGTGGTGCACCCTACACCATCACTCCCGGTGAGCTGTGTGCACCATATACCATCCTCACAGGCTGAATGGGTGCACCATACACCACCCCCCAGGCTGAGCTGTAGTGACCATATACCTACTCAGACTAAAAATTGTGGTGCACAATTACTAATATCACTGTTTGGGGTAATAAAAAATTTTCCTACAATTTCTGGTATTTTAAATTGAAAACAAAAAATAATTTAGTAAGCTGAATACAGCTATGTAGCTCTCGTATACAACTAGTTAAACGTATTCGATTTAATAACGACGGATGGTTAATATCGCAAGTTAAGCCAGGCAAGTTGAGAAGTGTTGTTCACTACGTATGTGTCCTCGGAGGATGACTTTTAAGTTGCCTGTTTTTTTTTTCCAACTTTTTATTTTTTCCTCTCATTACTCGAAAATGCCTCGTCCAATCAATTTCAAGTTTTCAACACTTGTGTACAATAATGAGGACCAAATTCCTAAAGCAATTGGAGTGTGCAGGTGCCTTATGACCAGAGTTGACCATCACCATTCTCAGCATCCTGGAATGGCTCAGATAACTTCTAAAATCTTCAGTGACGTAACTTTAACGTTAAAAAAGGTGCCTAGAAAGTCGACGATGGCGGAGAGTAAAATTCAGATGTGTAACTGTAGACTTGACAGTTTTGTGTAAAATAGTGTGAAATTTTTATTCCCGTTAAATCATGTTAATATTTTTCCAGATTCACAACAGCTCACTGTTTAATAGCTGTTTCATCTTAGGGCCAAGTTAGTGCCAGTTAAGTTTCTTTTGCGTGAAAGCAAATTTTTTTCCTGTAAAAAATCTTGGGCTTGTTGGAATCCGTGCAATAAACAGAGAAAGATTTATCAGAAAGGGTTCATATTTTTACCACTGGTGATGTTTCCTGAACACAAGGTTCACACTGTCTCAGTTTGCCAGTTTTACCGAATAAATAATGATATTCATTTTTATTCAACTAAAGAATCCTTCTGAGGGGAAGGATGATGCCTCATAAGTTTAGTCCGAGTAAGTGCATATTAGAAATTTTACTGAAATTACTTGGACCTTTTGAAGTCCCTTGACCTATACTCCAAGGAACGCAGATGAGGAAGATGCATCATAATCTTCACCTGGAAAATCAAAGAGGGACTGGTCCGAAATGTTGCAGATGATGCAACGTACCCCGAGTGAAAGACAGGGATGACTTGAGTACACTAAGAGAAAACACTAAGTGTACGGGGCCCAAGACTCTTCAGCAAGTTACGTTAGGTTAGGTAAAGTTTGTCAGGAAACAGGACAAAAGCTTCCTGACGCGTGTCTTAGTCATATGATGACCCCGCAACTGGAGGTTTTGGTCATCTGACCTCTTTAAAAATTATTGTTAATAAGATTATAACCATTTATGTAAATTACTATTTAACAGCCTCCCAGCATACCTAAGGGAAATTACCAGTAGATCCCTGACTGTCTTCAAGACGGAACTGGACCAGTGCCTAAAGTCAGTGCCCGATCAGATGGGAAGTAACAGCTTGATTGATCAGGTCCTACTCCACCGGGAGGTCTTATCAAGGAGCGGGCCGCGGAGGCAATGACACCGGAACAACTTTCAAGTAGGTTCAGGTTGGAATAAGATCAATTAATGCAGAATGCATTTTTGATCTGCTTCAAACTGTTTACCATTGATGGACTTTATTAACACAGCTTCTCACTCACTTTGACCTGTATAAATTTTAACTTACCAGTTTTATTAAGCAAATTGTTTCCCTACTTTATAACTAGAGAATGTCTCTTCTGATCAGCTTCAGACCCTATATGCTGTTATATCATAATAGAAAGCATTATCGAAATCAATTACTATTTCTTAGAGGATATTAGAGAAATTTTAAGTAGAATGTAAAAGAGAAAAAACTGGAAAAATAAAACTCCGCGGTTTTATAGAGTCTGTAAGTTTAACGAAGGGGAACTCCTATTTTTATGAATATTTTTTAGCAGCAAATTCGTTTGCAGTATCACAGATTTTCGTTTATAACTCGATAGTTGTTCTCTCAAACGCTTGAGTAATGTATCTTGGCCCAGATTCTTGTGACTATTTCCATGCGTGGGCGCCCCTGGTGCCTCTGTTTTCACTGGCGCCCCTGGTGCCCCTGGTGCTCCTGGCGCCCTTGGCCACAATGCTATATAATTATATCTAAATTTTGTTTGCGTATTATAGGTTGAGAGAGGCTCCTCTGATTGGCTACAACAGTGGTGTATCTTACTTACGAGGAGGTTGGTATATTTAATGGAGTGTAGATGACATTTTGGCCATTCTAATCTCGAAATGGTATAGTATTATTTTATTTCATTATGCCTTGATGCTAGTGACGAACTCTTGATCCAAGGAACTGGACATCTTTCCCTAGATTGGATCGTATTTTAATGTCTCCCATTCCAAATGAGCTACATTGCTGCTACGGGTTTAGGGCTTTCCTTTGATTAGAATGTAATGCTTGTGAACATCAATCTTCAATGGTTGACGCATCGTATGAAATGGATGGAACGTTTCATGGGTATAGGCTGTGTAGGCACAAATGTTGTCGGATTCTCTACAATTACTGGTCACCAGTCAACTTTTAGTCCTGTGTTTTCCTCAAAACCATCTCTTGGTGTTAGGGTAGGTTATCATTCGCCAATTTTATGAAACTAATTGGTGCCTGTGAAATAATTGCAGCTCTCTCTTGTCAGGAATAAGTCGGTGTTGGACTATATTTGGTTGTCCTACATTAAATCAAATTAATGTTCTTTTATGTGTCTATTAAATCTCTGTGCTCTGAAAGCCATTGTTAGAAATTTGAATGTTATGTACACAAACCTTACATAATACTTATTGTATTTTCTTAAAAGACGGTCAGTCTTACTTGAAGAAAAATATGGACTGGTTCTGGCCTGTGCAGGTCTCAATTTGCTTTTTTAAGGAACAGAAAAGAAATAAAATGCTGCTTCTCATGCGATAATTTCCGAGTGTCGTATCTGATTAGCTTCAACCCTTCCAAGCTGATAACTTAGTAATGCAACTTCTAAGCGGTATCAAAGTTAAAGTGCTTGTGTACCTTAGGATGTTCGTCTTTCTGGTCTCTTTGAAAAGTTTGAATTAAATTTGGGCTGTGTAATATCTTGGTTTATCATTTTTATTGAAGAAATTTGAATATTAGTTTTCGTATGATGACTTGTGAGTGCCATCAGATCTTCAACGCTAATATTCCACTGCATTATCAACTTATGCCTCGGCACTATTCCAATGGCATGCGCGGAGGCACGGGAGACTGGGGTTACCTGGAATATACCTGAAGAGCGTTTGGGGGATTAACGCCCCCGCGGCCCGTTCCGTGACCAAGCCTGGTGGTGGATCAGGGCCTGACCAACCAGGCTGTTACTGCTGGCCGCACGTAAACCGACGTACTGACTTTAGGTGCCTGCCCAGCCCCTTCTTGAAAACAGCCAGGGGTTCATTGGTAATCCCCCTTATGTATGCTATGAGGCAGTTCAACAGTCTTGGGCCCCTGACATTTATTGTGTTGTCTCTTAGTGTACTCGTGGCGCCCCTGCTTTTCATTGAGGGGATGTTGCATCCTCTGCCGAGTCTTTTGCTTTCGTAGGCGGTGATTTTCATCTGCAAATTTAGTATTAATCTCTCTAGGATTTTCCAACTGTATATTATTATGTATCTTTATCGTCTGCGTTCCATGGAATACAAACCAAGGGACATCAACCGTTCCCAGTAATTTAGGTGCTTTATCGTACTTACGTGTGCCCCAAAGGTTCTCCGTACATTCTCCAGGTCAGCAATTTCGCCTGCCTTGAAAGAGGTCGTTTAGTGTACAGCAGTATTAAGTAAGTTTATTCAGGTATACACAAATACAGCTACACAGATTATCATACATAGCAGCATGTGTGTAGAGAACCTGGGATAACTCAAAAAGTCAAAGTGAATTTCCATCGGGGACCTTTAAAAAATGTGGAACACTTCACGATTTTGCGTGTCATCCTCGAGCAGGCGCCATGCTAATTAATCTTTTCTCTATCGTTCTAATTTTAGTATATGTACTGCCAAAGCAAGTATTCCAGCCTAGAGATAAGCGATTTGATGAGAATTATCATGGGCTTGGCATCCCTAGTTTTGTAGGTGCTCATTATCCATCCTATCATTTTTCCAGCAGATGTGGTAGATACGTTGTAATGGTCTTTGAAAGTGAGATCCTCTGACATTATCACTCCCGGGGTTATGGTATACGGGATACCTTTCTCGGATCACTTAGCGACTGAAAAACCTCTAGTGTTCATTGTGGACCTTTGGTCCTTCCCAGCACCTAACGCTTAGCATTTTGCTAAGTCTTAGGTATGTACTATACATTATTACGTAAATAAGGGCAGCACTCGGTCATATGTCAGGCCTCGCCCAGGACTGAACATGAGGTTTTCGGTTGTGAGCCGAATGTGCTCTTACTAAGCTAAACTATGTATGTACGCTGTGCTTCATGCATGTAAGTTGACACTTGTTTTTAGATTCACGGTATGCCATGTGTAAGGGAAAAGCCCTTAAAAAAGGGAGAGTTATGGTTGTTCAGACACCCAGGAACCGTTAGCGTGTTACTGCCCGCACTACCTAGAGGGCTTAGGCTAAACTCCAGTTCCTGGAGTCTGATTTGCTTTAATTTCTGCTCTGGTGTGGGTTGAAGTTTGGAGAATCACTTCACCTCCACTCTACTCCTGATCAGGTAAGGTGATATACCAGGAGTATTTCTGTTCTTTGTTACTGATTTACCTGGTTACCAGTAATGACATTGAGGTAGAATACCATCCTTTGTCTTAACTCTTATGTAACCAGTGTTGTTTTTTATCAGCTCTGCTGCTGGCCTGGTCAACCAGGGTAGACGCTAGTTATTGGAGCAAGATCCCTGTCAATGGGACATATTGGGATATAACGACTCGTCTCTTTGAAATCTGACGTATGGTATTGCGACTAAGTATTGACAGGATTTCCAAAACATCGAACGAACACCGCCACCCATGATAACTAACACCATTTCTTCTAAAACATCATAATAGACCATCCTAGGCATAAAATACTCCTGTCTCAACATCTTACTGGAACCACAGCGGCCAACTTTATTTTAATTAAAATCCTTAGAAAATTATCTATATTATTCCTCAAGTTAGTCATTATTTTTCCATTCCTTTGTTCAGGCGGAAGGCGTTTTTCCCCGACACCTTGTTTTTAAAAATTC